TCTAGATTGAAAGAGGCTACTGAGTGCCCAGCACAATGGAGGAAAAAGAAAATGCCATGACCAAATGTTATTTATACCCGCCAAATATTATATCCACCAGATGTTATAGGCACCAAATGTTTTAGAACATTGGGAATACAAAAACATTCAAAAAGCTTCCAGAGAGAAACAACAGTCATTTCAGACAAAGAATTAAGAATTAAAATAACATTAGATTTCTAAACAGTAATAATATGAGCTAGAAGACAACAGATAAATGCAAAAAATACATTTTTGAGAGAAAAATTATTTTAACCTGTTAAAATAACTAAAGACCCAGACACACCATGAAATCATGTGTGCAAGTGGAATAAAGACATTTCTAGTCACACAAGATCTCAAAAACTTAGCTCTTCTGTGCCTCCTTTCTCAGAAAAGTGCTGCAGGATGTGCTCCACCAGAATGAGGGAGGCGCCAAGAAAGATGACATGGGATTCAAAAAACAAGGAATCAACACAGGAGAGAAGTGAAAGGAATCCCCAGGAAGTAGATGGACAGTAACAATCATGCCAACAGACAGCCAGTCCAGACTGCAGAGGGAGAAAAGAGGCTCTGGAGAAATGCCACCAAGAAGATGAAATCAGAAGCTGTCAGAAAGAGATTTGCATAGAAAGCAGAATAGTTGGGGATGACTTAGTGAATGATACACAGGATATAGAAGACACTTATTTACTCCAGGAAAAACAAAAAATTGTATAAGAAAGGAAATTCAATCATACAATATGGCTTAACTTTGAGTAGTGTTTCATAGTCATAGTAATATAAGCACACACTGGCCAAATTTAAAAATTCTGACATGACTATATCAGGAAGAGGAAGGGTATCTATCCACATGTGAGAGTGAGCGATGTGAGTGAGAACTAAATCTTCATCTTCCTGGAGGGACATTAACAAATTAAAAAATGCCTGACCCAGACCTTTTCAAATTGGTGCCTTTCAAATTGGTGGCTCATGCCTGCAATCGCAACACTTTAGAAGGCTGAGGCAGTTGAGCCTAGGAGTTTGAGACCAGCCTGGGCAACATAGTGAGACCCTGTCTCTACAAAAATTAATAATAGGGCAAAAATTAGCCAAACATGGTGGTGTGTGCCTATAGTCTCAGCTGCTCAGGAGGCTGAAGGGAGAGGATTGCTTGAGCCACGGCAGGGTTGAGGCTTCAGTAAGCCTCAATCTGGGCAACAGAGCATGACCCTGTTTCAAAACAAAACAAAACAAAACAAACCCCCCAGAAAAATGTTTTGACTTGAACAATCAGCAAGTAGCAGTATATGCATGTTATTTCAAAAAGGTAAAGGTGGCCAGGTGTGATGGCTAACACCTGTAATCCCAACACTTTGGGAGGGCAAGGTGGGCTGATTTCTTGAGGTCAGGAGTTTGAGACCAGCCTGGCCAACACGGTGAAACCCCATCTCTACTAAAAATACAAAAATTAGCTGGGCGTGGTGGCAGGTGCCTGTAATCCCAGCTACTCAAGAGGCTGAGGCAGGAAAATCACTTGAACCCGGGAGGCAGAGGTTGCAGTGAGCCAGAATTGCGCCACTGCACTCCAGCCTGGGCAACAGAGTGAGACTCCTCTCAAAAAAACAAAAAGAGAGGTAAAGGCATACCAAAAGGCAAGGAAGTGGCAACGGCTTCTGGGAGGTGGGAAGAATGTTAGGGATGGCGTGGGAAATGAGGAAAGGGAACTGCAACTTCTTTGCCTTAAGCCCTATAGAACTATTTGATTTTTTAAAGTACATGCAGTGTGTAACTGATACATTTAAATTAAGTTTAAAATCATGTACATTTTAATCTAACTTCTTGAGCTTCCGTTTATTTATTTGTTCTTCATTCATTCATTCATTCATTCATTCTACAAACATTTGCTGTGAGTCTGTGGGTTGGCTGCAGGGACAGCTGAAAAGGAAATCTCAATTCCTGCTCAGAAAGGATCTTTCCTTTCAATAAGAAAAACTTCAAGGAGGCTAAAGCTCTGTGTGTCCTTTACTTTATTTTGCATGGTAGCTGATTTTCTGAAGAACTGTCAATTCTATATCTGAAACCAATGCAAGGTCTTGGGACAACAGTGGCTGAAGCTCATGATTTAAAGAGTTCCTATGATAAATCCATCAGGAGAAATTCCTGCACAATATAGGAATATGTAATCTATGTCTTCTCATATTGGCCACTCTGGGGAGAAGAGGATGTGGCTGCAGGAAAGGTAGCCGAAAAACAAACTTGCGGGCAACACGTTATTGCCAGTTGAGAAGAGGGGAATTCACTTATGGCCAATATTACTCATGACGACAAATTAGAATTCACTTATATACTGTATACTGAGATGTGGCCCTTAATTACATTATTTTGTGTACTTTTACTGACGTCCTGTAGTGTCTAGCTATATCCAATAAACATGTTAGTAAAATGTTCAGCTGCACATCATAGGGATTCTGCACTCATTAATTTCACAAGTTTTTGTTTGTTTGAGATGGAGTCTCGCTCTGTCACCCAGGCTGGAGTGCAGTAGTGAGATCTCAGCTTACCTGCAACCTCCACCTCCCAGGTTCAAATGATTCTTCTGCCTCAGTCTCCCAAGTAGCTGGGGTTACAGGTGCCCACCACCACGCCCAGCTAATTTTTTGTATTTTTAGTAGAGATGGGATTTCATCATATTGGCTAGGCTGGTCTCTAGCTTCTGACCTCAGGTGATCCACCTGTCTTGGCCTCTCAAAGTACTGGGATTACAGGCATAAGCCACCACACCTGGACAATATCACAGGTTTTTATAGTTCTTCCATTTATAACAAATATAATTGCTTCTTTCAGCTTCATCTGTAAGCGCTCTGAGGAGAATCTCTCCAATATATTTAATAAGAGAATGGCTGTGTTACCTGCTAAGATTTTATTTTTGCTTGTAGGACATTTTATTGTACCATTTGAAAGCAGCAGGAAAATATTTTTAAAAGATAGCCATAGTTCAGAAAAATCATGTTTTAGTTGGAATAATATAAATACCAACTGTATCATGAAGTTGTGATGGGAAAACTCTCCTTTCCCTGAATATTATTTTTTGTGTCAAAACTATTAATGTTCTTATAATGTTCTGGATGAATCTACAAAATGTTTTATTCAAGGTTCTTGAAATGACCTTGAATTGCTATCCCCATACTGCCCTTACACAAAGGAGAGAAGAGGCTAATAAGTTATATGCATGTCTTAGGCACGCCTTTCAAATTGGCACAACAATCATGTGAAGTAAAGTACATACCACAGTCATGAAAACGTATCTTCACACGGTGGCCAGGTCAGTCTGCTAAAATGCAACTCTAACATAATCACTCTCCAGATCAAAAGCCCCTGGGCTCCCTGCTGCCTGGCATGAAGAGTAAACCCTGCCCAAGGGCCCACTGCAATGGTGCCAGGCCAACCTTGCTAGCGTGGGATCTGTCATGTCCGCCTGTGCCTCAGCCTACTTGCCTGTGAAGTGGACCATTTGCCGTACTCTGGGTCTGCCTCACTTTCTCATTTCACATCTTGACTGTCCCTTTCTGTGGCTCCACAGTTCCCCAGTCACCACCTCTCAAGTTCATCTCAAATGCCACCGTTCTGGGAGCCTGCCCTTCCCTCCCTGCCTTCTGCCCTGTCTCCCTCCTCTGAACACTTAGTGCCTAGTACTTGTCCAGGTCTGTGACAGTCCTCTGTGGCCTTGCCTCGTTCACCCACTGAGCTCTGCACTGCCTGAGAACAGAGATCGGATCCCTCCTGGATGCTCTGTAATTAGGAAACAGATTTGACGTGAAGACATGGGCTCATGCCTATTTCAGGGCTCTCATAGCTTTTCAAGAAGCCTGTGAGGCTCTGCCTCCGTGTCCTGGGCAGTGCGCCAGCAAACTGCATTCCTAATTACATAACAGTATTCAAACGCATGTCAGTATGAAAAGAGGAATAAACTCTTTTTTTTTTTTTTTTTTTTTTTTTTTAACCAGAAAAATTTTTTTTGATCACTGGACTACTTTCCATTTTAAGCTAATTAGTAAATTGCATTTTTGGCTCTTTAACTGGCTAGGTTAAATTTAGCTCATCTTTTCCTTAAAGTCAAGCTGTCAGTAGGTTTTGCAATTAAAATTTCCACTCTCAACTTTTGTTCTCATTCAAGAGGATGCTGGCAAGGCACTCCTCCTTCTGCCCTCCCTTCCTTCAGCTTCTCCCCTACCCAAGACTTCACACGGACACAGGAAGATGGCCCCTTAGCCCTAGAACTGTAGGGCACCATAAGCGTGGCCCTCATCAGCAGGCAGGGCATCTGCCCAAGGATGCAAGCAGTCACTCAGCCATGCCGCTGAGCACCCAGCCTATCCCCATGGAGCTATAGAAGATACGCAGTATCCTGTGCGGCCAGGGCTAGAGCAGGGGCTTGGAGGGCCTCTGACGTCCCAAGCACGAACTCTTGAGTGGGTGGATATGGGGAGGTCTGAACAGTGCCAGGGGAGGGGCGTGGGAGAAGGAAAAAGGTACACTCAGGGGGCATTGAGAACAGAGCAACATGACAGAAATACTGGGCATTACAGAAGCATTTGCATCTTTTAACAATCACCATGGCCAAACCAGGGTATTCCAGCTGACTCTGGCCCCCGCCAGGCCCCAGAGCCGCCTAAGAACAATGTGGTGAGGAGCGCGGATATGGGTTAGGGTGGAGGTCACAAGGCTACCCTGTGCTGCGACCAGAGTCATTTTAGAGCCCGGGAAACTTCCCCATGCCTAGAACCCCTTCTCATCCCCAGGCCCTCTGCTCTTTGCCTGGAGCTCTCTGTCACCCTCCCTCCCTCGCTGTCTCCCCTGGAGTCCTGCCAAGGGTTCTTCTCCTGGCCCAGGCTCTTTCTGCCCACCCTCAAGGATGGTTCAGAAGTGCCCCCCACCCTTAGCCCAGTACCCCAGCCCCTCAGTAGGACAGACTGAGGGAGGGAGTGGGGGAAGATGCTCACCCGGCCGTCGTGAAGCAGAAGACAAGAGGCCAGGTCTCCCCTGTGTGAGCCGCTCTGCTGCCCCTCCTCCAAGGGGAAATGGAGAGGCAGAGGCCACTTTATGAGCAGAGCACAGAGGTCCCGCTTCCCTTGTGGCCATTAAGCAAGATGGGCGGGTGATTTCCAAGAAGAGAGAAGGAGGCATCCATTATGCAGGCACTAATGAGCCTCAGGTCCCAGATCTCTCAGGACCTGGGCAGGGCTGGGGAGGGGGAGCGGCGCCCACCTCGGCCTGGCTGCTCCTCTTCCCATCCAGGCTCCTGCTTTCTGCCACAAGATCCTGTGCATCTGGGTGATGGCAAGTAGGGCAGACGGGGCGCCCCAGGGGGACAGCTGCAGTCAGTGAAATGAGCTTCGTGGCCTGGGAGTTCTGCAGAGCGGAGAGGGGATCCGGGAGCAAGTGCCTGCCTCTTTGTCGTCAGATGGCATTTTGGTGGAGAACTGCCTGGGGAAAAACTGGAAAACCCTTTTCCTCTCCCAGCGGCACGGTCCTGGGCAATGTCCACCCCTCCCTGGGCCTGACACAGGGAGATTCTGGGACCTCCTGGGGTCTTCGCAGCCTGGGCTACCATGGCCCTCGCTGTGTGGGAGGCTTCCCAGTGCCTGTCTATGGAATAGTGAGGAAAACGTGGAGGGAGTTTGTCACGAAATAAAATGTATTTTAATTTTAGAACTCAGCCTCATTCTGAGATTGTTCATCTGACATGGGTGACAAAGTAGCCCTGCTTTTATGAAATGATGGCTAGAGTGGATGGACATTACTTTTGAATGTCTTTATTTACCAAACAAAAAGTTGGCAGCTGCAGGGTGTGTGGGGAAATGTGAAAGTCTGTAAATCACTGTTTCGCCCAGAGGCCTGAGCCCTGAAGGACTTTGGGCTTCGGGGCATTGAGCCTCAGAGGGGTGCTGGGGGGAGAGAACAGTCAGGCACCCATCTGTAGGAACCCATCTGTGGGGATGGCCTGTGACCAATCTGCACCCAGGATGTTCAAGATGCAAAGCCTTCTACACCATGGGCAGAAAAGGGAGAAATTCTTGAATTTTATTCATTCACGGTGCTCTTACAGTCACAGCACCTGCTCCTTGTCTGTCAAGCATTAGAGCACCATGGGTCAAACCATGGGTTGTGACCCACTAATGGGTAATAAAATCAATTTAGCAGGGACTGAGACCAGCATTGTTCAAATGAAATGTTGTGAAATATAGCAGAAAATATGAGAATTATATTAATACTATATGTAGATATGAAATAGAGTAAATATTGATTCATGCACCTTTTGCTCCATTTCCGGCATGAAGCAATAAAGTCCCAAAAGCCTCCTGCAGACAGCACAAATTCTACACAAAGTGACAAAAACAGTGCCTGGAGGGAACAAAAGCAGGCAGGTTTTGGAGCAATGTCCAGACCTAGGGAGAGGGGTCCACCCACAGAGGGTGAATTCCTCGTTTTCACAGACCTGCCTTAAGGGCGGCCCCATTTGCAGTGGTGGCACAAGGAGACCACCGCCCAGTAGAACGTCTGTTTTCTGGACAGAGGAAGCAAGAGAAGCCCTGGACAACCACAGTTATTAGAGAATGGGGAGAAACCCAAGAAAAGAGATAGCCAGAGAAGGGGAACCCCAAATTTAGCATGTAAACTCTGCCCGACTCCCAGACACACAGCTTTCGAGGTATATGAAAAGCAGTCTGAACTGAGAGCCGAGCCCTCGCCCACCACAAGTGTCATAAAGTTTGAAGTGTGAGTCTAACCAAGTTAATTATCTGCTGAAACAAAATCATCAGCACTCTATTAAACAATGTGACACAATCCAGAGGCCGCAGCACAGAACAACATCCAGAATACATCCGAAATCACTCTACTTACAAAGAGCCAGGAAAACGCAACCCATTCTCCAGAAAAAGTCAATCGACACATAGCAATCCTAAGATAATGCAGATATTGGAAATATTAGACAAGAGCTTTAAAGCAGCCGTGATAGCAATATTCAGTGAAGTAATGAAAAGGTATGGCATAGCCAAGAAACAGAAAATGTGAAAAGGAACCAGGTAGGTTTGGTTTGGTTTGGTTTTTTGTTTGCTTTGTTTTCTATTCATTAGTTTTGAGACAGGGTCTCACTCTGTCACCCAGGCCTAAGTATGGTGGCGTGATCCTGGCTCACTGCAGCCTCAATTCCCCAGGCTCAAGCAATCCTCCCACCTCAGCCTCCCAGGTAGCGGGGACTACAGAGGCACACCACATGGATGGCTAATTTTTGTATCTTTCGTGGAGATGGGGTTTCACCATGTTGCCCAGGCAGGTCTCAAACTCCCGGGCTCCAGTGACCCACCCACCTCAGCCTCCCAAAGTGCTAGGATTCTAGGCATGAGCCATGGTGCCCAGCCTGGCAGAATTATTTATAATAGCCAAAAAATGGAAACAATCCAAATGTCCCTCAACTGATGAATGGTTAAATAAGTGCGGTATATCCATGCAACGAACTGTTATTCAGTCATAGAAGGAGTGAAGTACTCATACACGCTTCAACATGGATGAACCTTGAAAACGTTATGTTAAGTGAAAGAAGCCACGTACAAGAGACCATAATTTCATTTAGAGGAAATGTTCAGAACAGGCAAAAGCATAGAGACAAAAAGTAGATTCATGGTTGCCCAGAGACTGAGGGCAAGGGAGGATGAGGGCCAATTGCGAATGTGTATGGGGTCTCTTTTCAGGGTGATGAAAAATATGCTTTAATAAATAAAAAGGTAAGACAGCTCAGCCAATGACCCTGCAAAATTCAGCATGGAGTGGGTGAGACAGATACTGATAATGATGTCAGTGGAAGCTGCTGTAAGAAGGGGTAGGAAGGGGAAGAAATGACTGTTTACTGAGTACCCGCTGTGTTCAGCGCCCTGTGCTCAGCATATTACATAGCTCAATCATTCTTGTTACTCCGTCAGGTGACAGTAACATCCCTGTTTTACAAATGGAGAAAATGAGGCCCAGGGAGGTAAAATAACTGAGCTAATACCAGGGACTGAACATTTGTGTCCTCCCAAAATTCATATGTTGAAATGCTAACCCCCATTGGTGATATCTGGAGGTGCAGCCTTTGGGAGGTGATTAGATCATAAGAGTGGAAGCCACATGAATGAATTCATTTCCTTAAAAGAAGACATGATCTCTCTTCATGCAGGTCAAAATAAAAAAGATAGATAGATAGATAGATAGATAGGCATAAATTTTTTTAAAAAATACACGAGAGCTTCTTGTCTCTCTTTGGTTTTCACCATCTGAGGATACAATAAGAAGATACATCTGTGAATCAGGAAAAGAGCCCTCACCAGACACCAGATATGCCAGAGTCTTGATCTTGGACTTCCCAGCCTCCAGAATTGTGAGCAATAAACATCCCTTGTTTCATCCACCCAATCTATGACATTATTTTATAGCAGCCCAAACAACAAAGACGGCGCTGGTGGTCATAGGAGGACAGAGGAGGGAATTCCTTCACCTCAGAGGAAATGGGGAGGAATGGTACAAAGGTTACGTGTCACCAAAACCCAGTGGACAAGGAGAGAAAAGCAAAGTGAGTGAAGTAAAGAGGCAGGAACGTTTGTGAGTGGCATGTGTGGGCTGTCAGGTGACTGGAACTTGCAGGGGACAGAAGGGATTGGTGGGGAATGTGGTTGGAGGGGTGAACCAGCCCAGAGCAAGCTCAGCAGAACCCATTTCTATTCCCAGGGAAAGGACGAAAGAGGAGCAAGAACAAGGTAAGGAGGGCCTGTGGGCACTGCTTCCTGCCCGCTCCTCAGCCAGCTCCTCGTGGGAATGTAGCCTCGGAGGAATTGTCCCTACATTAAATGGTGTCCTGAGAAAACCTGAGCATTAAAGGCAGGTGTATCTGGAAGACATCGTGACATTTATCCTGAGGCTAAAACCCATGTGACTGATTTCTTAAGTATGGGGCAGGTACTGCAGAGACTTGACAGTGACCATTGCCCTGAACTAGTCAGGCCTCAGAAAGAAGTGACATCAGATTGATAAACCATGGAAACTGACCTGTCTGCTCTAAATCCATGGCCTGGGGGAGAATGGGATCCCTGGAAATGGAGAGGAGCTTGTGTCCCTGCCCACTGTCGGGGAGGCCAAGGTTACTCAGGGCTGGGGCCAGCACTGCCTACTGAGGACAAGCCCTGAGAGGCTGCGTGCTTCCACTTCCAGAGGGGCCACCTCCTGCTGGTGCCCATGTTGGGGGTCCTGTGACTGCAGAAAACGATCCTTGGAACGGTGCTCTCTGTCTGTGTGCTGACAGCCCAGCTCCCCGAGTGCTCAGCATCTGCTGCAAAACCCCTGGTGGGCTGACTTGATCGAGGACATGGCTATGCTGCTCCCTTCCTGTGTCTCAGGAGAGTCACTAGCAAATGAGGAGCTCAGAGGCTGGCTGGGAAAGGAGGACCAGACAGGGGCCTTCCAGTTGGTTTCCCTACTAGGTAGAGGGGTCTGTAGTTCTTGGTAACCTCGAACCCACATCAGAACCACCAACCAAGACTAGTTTGGGTCACTCTGGGTCCCCAAACTACTGAGAAAAAGAATATACACGCAGGCCAGGCGTGGTGGCTCAGGCCTGTAATCCCAGCATTTTGGAAGGCCAAAAGGCGGATCACCTGAGCTCAGCAGTTTAAGACGAGCAGCGAAACCCCTTCTCTACTAAAAATACAAAAATTAGGTGGGCATGGTGGTAGGTGCCTGTAATCCCAGCTACTCAGGAGACTGAGGCAGAAGAATCACTTGAACCTGGGAGGCAGAGGTTGCAGTGAGCCAAGATTGCACCACTGCACTCCAGCCTGGGCGACAGAGGGAGACTCCATCTGAGAAAAAGAAAAAGCCCACAGAAGCATCCCTGGGGATGGTTGGAGTGCATCTCCTCTTTCTCTTTCCCCAGCTGTTCTGGTGCATGTGTCACACAGTCAAAGCTCCACCCATCTTTGTGCCCAGCTAATCCCGTGCTGTCACAGATTCGGCCACTCCTGGCCCTGGGCCTGTCTGCTTTACCTCTACCTCCTCCCTTAGCTATACTCCAGCCACGTGGAGTGACTGATACTTCCGAGGCAGCTCTGTTAACCCCACAATCCTTCCTGTCACAGACGTCACCACCCCAGCTCAGACGGCGGCTCCAAGAGACCCTCAGAGATCCTACTTCACCACTCCACCAAGAAGAATGAATTCCCCCCTCCTCTGGGTCACATCCAAGAACAGCACACCCTTGAGAATTTCACTTAGCACGTGGCATTGTAATGACCGGATTTCCTCTGCTCTAAGACACAATTTTTGCTTTCAAAACTTTCTGGAATTGGAATGAATCTTTCATTCAATGTGCACCCTCAGTGTGGG